TAGAAGGGTCAGCTTCTATCCCCATTTTACAAATGAAGAAAAGTGAAGCTCAAGAAAGCTTAAATGAGTTGCTTAAAAAGCCACATTGAGACTGCTCATGGGTTAGGCAAGGATGCAGACTCATCGACTAGCCTTCCATCAAAGCACTTTAGAGCCCAAGCCATCGGAGGTGAGGCCTGTGTCTGAGCCTGTGGGTGGCAGGTAGTCAGAGTTCACAGCACTGGACTTGGCTTAGAAGGGAAGGCACTAGTGGTCAACAAGGAGTGTTCTGCTTTGACCTGGAGCAATTCCTTCTGTTGGGAGCCAGACCCTCAGTCCTCAGGGCAGTGTCCAGATAATGACCTTCATGCCAGAGTTGTAATAGCTGGCTTTCCAAAGAGAAAGAATCACAAACCAGGGGTGGTGGCACATGCCTATAATCCCAGCAGCTTAGGAGGCTAAGGCAGGAGGTTTGCAAGTTCAAAGCCAGCCTCAGCAACTTAGTGAAGCCCTAAGCAGCTTAGGGAGACCCTGGCACAAAACAAAAAGGGTTGTGGATGTGACTCAGTTATTAAGACTTTGTGGGTTCAATCCCTGGTACCAAAAAAAGAAAAATCACACACCACTATGCAAGTTACATGGAATGCATTTCAACAACATGCTTCTCAGCTGTGTCCCAGTGTTGATATGGCCCACAGGTAGCATCCTGTGGCCACTGATGACGGCAGCTAACTGTGCTGTGTGGAGGAGGATTGCAAGGCCTGCTGAGCTCCAGGAGGTGACCTTTTGATGATGTTAATTTTGTTGGGCCAAGTGACTCAGAAAGAGCTGAACTTGGCTCTGCCCATCACCCCACCTCCCCATGGGCCTCCTATGGAGCAGATCCAAGGAATGTTTTTTGTTTTAAATTGAACCACTTGCTAACTGGGCTGATGCCCAAGAGCTCAGACCAGAGGCCTTGATGGGTTGGGTTTGCACTTCAGTCTGCACACTGCTGTGTCCTCCTCCAGTTCCAATCCTGAATCTTAGAAGCAGTGGGCTCCTGACCTGAAGCCTAGGACCTGGCACTGAGACCCCTGAAAGGAGCAAGGGGACTACCCTGTCTTGCTGTCAACTCAGCCATGCAGGAGGGTGGAAGAGCAAGGTGGTCAGGCCAGCAGCATGTCCACTCCCCAACCTTGTGGAGCTGCAGGCAGAAGAGCCCTCCCATGCATGACCTTGAAACTCCCAGAAGCCTCACCCACAAACCTCAAGTCTGACTCCTCAGTGGGAGCAATGTGGAAGGTGTGTGGAGAAGGGGACAGTGGTGTGCTGGGCTGCTTTAAACTGTCTTCAAGAGCCACTGTACATACCTTCTCCCACCTCTGTGCTCAGTGATGCCCACAGCATGAAATCATTTGTCTATACCACAGAAATTAGCAATCACTACAGATCAGGGCCTGTTTTGCTCTGGTGTTATGAGAGTCAGGGTTCTCCGGAGAACAAGCACAACAGAGAGTTATAAGATATCGGCTCCCATGATTACAGAGGCTAAACCATTCCAAGGTCTACAGTCATCAGGGTAGAGACCTAGAGGAGCCTATACTGTAGTTCTAATTCAAGTCCAAAGGCAGGAAAAGACTGAAGCCTGGGCTCCAGTAGTCAGGCAGGAGGGGTTTCCTCACTCAGTCTTTGTATTCAGATCTTCAGTGGACTGGATAAAGCCCACCCACACTAGGGAGGAGCAGTAAATGCCCTCATAGAACAACCAAAAGAATGCTTGCTCCAGGATCTGGGCACCCTATGGTGTGAACTGACATATAACCTTAACAGGTGCTCTGTTTTGAGAACCAACTGTCAGACACCACTTCGATAGCTCTGTTCCTGACACCCTCCCACCTGCAAGTTCAGCAGGAAAGGGCCTCATCCCTCAGCTCTCTCTGGCCTCAGCACACTCACCTCTCAGGCTTTGGAATCTCTGCATCTCTGAGATCCTCCCCACACCCCAGCCACTCATTTCCATTCTTGTTGAATCCCCATTCCTTGGCCAATACTGTAGCAGATCTAAGAAGAGGGAGTGGATAATGGAACCCAGGACACACACAGACTGCCCTAAGGAGGACTTGTAGGGTCAAGCTCAATGAGTGAGACTGCCTGCAGGGCCGAAGGACCACAGTAGGCAGGGCCAGCAGTGAGGCTGCACTGACTCGGGACCAGGACACATACCCAGCAGCCAACAACTTTGAAGATCCCAGCCACCCAGGAGGCTAAGGTAGGAGGATCCCAAGTTTGAGCCCAATCTGGACAACTTAGCAAGACCCTGTCTCAAAATAAAAAATAAGAAGGGTTGTGAATGTAATTCAGTGGTAGAACACTTGCCTAGCATGCCTGTGACCCTGGGTCCTAGAAGAGTACTCCTCTCATCTACCCTGGTTGCTGGAATATTGTGGATTGTGAATATAAAGCCAAATAAGACACTGGTGTCAGAACCATTGCCCTCAGAAACTGATAAGACCCTCACATAGCCAAGGAAAACCTTGTTCTATGTGTTTACTAAAGCACTAACCCTGTGTCAACTAGGTAAATGGGGTCCTTCTCTGGGCTTCGGTTTCTCCTTGTCAAGTGAGCAGCTATGCCATTCATTCTTGGTGCTGCCACAGCATGGCCAATGCCCACCTGCCACACCCACTAGCTGCTCACCAGGACCTGGTTGCAGCAAGACTGTCTGAGTGTGATGCCCGCTCCTTGTTTTAGTACCTGCAGTCTGTGTGGCAGGACAGTGCGGGAAGCCTAGTGAGGAACCTGGATGTTAGGTCTGGTGGCTTGGGAAAGGCAACTTTTGTCCTGCTCAGAGCTTCTCACAACATGGCAGGATCTCACACTGGAGTGGAATAAAGTGCTGCCTTCCTGACCAGCTGGGGAGGTGCTAGAACCTACTATGTTAACTTTATTAGATTTGTGTGCCCAAGTGTTCAACCCAGTCTTCTACAGAACTGTGTTAAAAGATCAAACTAGAATAGGTGGCTATTAGCATCTATTATTTATTGGCCATAGAACTCTTTTTTTTCCAAACAAATGCTTTTGGGAAAAGTCCACTGTAAAACCAACATGGAACTTCTTTGATTCCAGAAGGGTAGAGCCAGAAGTCCAGCCCCTGTGCCCTCCTTCCCCAAGGGGTACTAGAGGCCTCAGCAGGGCCCTGTTAATAAACCTCACATCTCGTGTCCTCTTCTGGCCTTGCCCAAGCAAAAGGGCAAAGGTCACAGGAGCAAGATTTCAAGTCAACATCAAAGGACACTACAATCATTGCTTCTCTGTGATGAGAGACGCTGTCTGGGGAATGTGAGAGGATAGACTGGAAGATGGAATGATTGTCGGGGAGAAGAACAATGGTCTTCAAAATGAGGTACCAAATCCAGAGGTGTGCAAGATGATCCACCGGAATGATGCCAGAATAAATATTAGCATTTGTCCTGGTTTAGGTTTCCCTAGAAGCCGACCCTGAGAAAAGAATTCAAGGGCAAGTTGCTTATTTGGGAGGTGAAGAAAATAGCAGAAGAGGAATAGGGATGGGATGACAACCAGTAATAGGTACAGGATCAGTTACCCACTGGGCAACTAGAGTTTAATTGCATGGGAAAAGCTTCAGAAGCCAATGTAAAACATGCACTTCAAATTGTACCCCTCAGGGGCTGAGGGAGCTGGGTGTCAGATACACCGAGGGCAGCCCCTGAGGTTGTGGTGCCTCTAGCCTCCACACTGATAAACCTGACCTGGCAGCCAGCCAACCTTTGCACTCATAGGTGGGCATTCCTCCCCAGCACACATGACTTTCAGAACAACATGCAAGTTCATTGTTTATCTCCAGCAAAATACTTAAAAGAACTAAGTGCAAGTTGTTACACAGTCTTCTCTTATATAAAAGTGAGTATTCTAAATCTGCTGACCTCCATGGGGTCAATGACTATCAGTAATATGATAGTTGACAGATTCATTCCAAGAAATGTACTCATTCTATAAGGTAAACTGTCTTTTAACAAAAGTTTTATTGAATATATTTTTTATTTTGAATTAGTTTAAGCTTAACAGAAAAGCTGCAATGATAGTACAGAGTTCCAACATCCCCTCTCCCCCACTCTCTCCTAATGTTCACACTGGCTACATGATCACAGCAAAATTATCAAAACCCACAAATTCACATTGCATAACATTGTCAACTAAACCACTGACCGTATCTGAATTTCACCAGCTTTAACCCCATAATTTCTTTCCAGAATCCTATCCAGTATCCTACATTGCACCTGCCCATTCTTTCTTTCTTTCTTTTTTCTTTTTTTGTCTCAAATTGCAGTTGTTTACCAAGGTGCAACTAGCATATGATAAATTGCACATGCTGAAGGTATCAACTGGCTGAGTCTTGACATGTGTATGGGTAAAAACCACCACTGATGTCTCTTAATTGACCGGCTGATGGATGGATGGCTTGTTTCTAGTTTGGGGCTCTTAGAAATCAAGCAGCCAAAGACATCTGTGAACAGTCTGCATGGACATATGCTTTCCTTTCTCTTGAGCAAACACCTGGGAGAGGAAGATCGGGGTCAGATGGGATTAGGGTTCACTCCTTCTCTTGCTACCCTGTCTTCCAAGGGAGGTGTACCATTACACATGTCCCCCAGCACTACATGAGAACCCCACGTCCTCCTCCAGCCTCGGTAGGGTCAGCCTTTTTCATTTTAGCCAAACTAATGGGCGGGCAGCGGTAGCTCATTGTGGTTTTCACCTGCATTTCCTTAATGACTAATGAGAGTTCAGGTTTCTTTCCATATGCTTATTTGCCATCTATCTTCTTGGTAAAGTATCTATTATATCTTCTGTACATTTTCATTTTGTTGTTTCTTTTGTTTTAATTTTTTAAGATGTTGATAGACTTTTATTTTATTCATTTATTTATATGTGGTGCTGAGGATCAAACCCAGTGCCTCACACATGCTAGGCAAGTGCTCTACCACTGAGCCACAACCCCAGCCTCTATTTTGTTGTTTCTTATTCTTGAAATATATATATATTTTAAAATATATATGCATATATATGTATATGTATATGTATGTGTATATATATATATGTATATTCATATTCTGAATATAAGTCCTTTATCAGATATATGATTTGCAAATATTTTCTCCCAACCTGTGACCTATCATTCTTTTAATAGCACCTTTGAAAGAACAAAAAAAAATCTCAATTAAGTCCAATTTAACAATATGTACGATTTATTTTTTTTTTTAAAGTTAAATCTGCATCTCAGAACTTTTTGCCTCACATAATGTCCAAAGGTTTTCCTCCTGTGTTTTCTTCTAGAATTTTCACAGCTACATTTAGGTCTGTGATCTAGAGGGGAAAACAGCTCATTCCTCCTCTCACACGCCACTCAACACTTCTGATGCCAGATGTGTGGGATCCTGGGATCAGTTGCCTTGCCAGGATGGCTCACAGCCCTCGGGGAAATGCTTTTCATATATTTACCCATATATTATAAAGAATGCTTTTCATATATTTACCCTTCTATATATTATAAAGAAGGGTGCAGATCAACAGTCCAGATGGAAGAGATGACGAGGGCAGGGCATGTGGGAAAGAGGGGGAGCCTCCCTGCTCTCTCTGGGTGTCCTCCTTGGGTTCGGCTATCTAGAAGCTCCCCACACCTAGCCTGTCTGGGGTTTTATGAGGGGTCATTACTAGGCATGATTGCTGCATCCTTGGCCATTAGTGATCAACTCAACCTTCAGCCTCTTTCCCCTCCTTAGAGGTGTGGGATTAAAGGTTTCAACTCTTTAAACAGGCCTGGGTCTTTCTGGTGACAATTCTGTACCCTAAAGCTATCTAAGGGTCCTCAGAGACCAGTCATCTAATTAGTATATGAAAGACATCACTCTGGAGGTTCCCAGGGTTTTGGGAGCTGTGAGTCATGAAATAAGAGGAAAACCAAGTATATACTGTACTTCTGAGTATCACAGATGGAGTTAGTTTCTGTCCATGAGGGGACTTGCTGATCACAGTTCACTTTTTTGCAGATTAGTATGCAATGGTTCTAGCACACTTGATGAAAAGATCCCCACCCCACCCCCAGTTGACTCTGCACCACTGTTGAAGTGCAGTTGTCCATATCTCCTGTTCCTGGATTCTCTGCTCTGTTCCTTTGATCTATCTTGGCACCAATTCCACTGTCTTGGTTCCTATAGCTTTGTGATGATGAGTCTGGAAATAAGATAAGGTTGGTCCTACAGCGTTGTTCTTTTTCTAAATTATTTTGGATATTTTATGTCTTTTGTATTTCTGTATCAGTTTCGCTATCAGCTTGTCAGTCTGCGGGTATTTGTTTTTGGCAATGCTAGAGATCAGACCAAGGGCCTCCCTAGGCAACACCCCCAGCTCCAGCTGGTCAACTTTTACAGAAAGGTGACTGAGGTTTCGATTGGCATTGCATTAAATCCATAGATTAATTTGGGGAAAACAGCTTAACACCCATATCAAATCTTGTGGCCCATGAATGTGGTATCTCTCCCTTTCTGTCTTCTTTAATGTCCCTGCAGTATTAATTGCTTTCCATGTACAGACCTTGTATCTCTTTTGTCAAAATTCAAACTAAGTGTTTCATAGTTTTATGCCATATAAGTTGTATTTTAAATTTCCAATTTTTTTGTTGTGTGTTGCTAGTATAGGAAAACAGTTTGGGTAGATTGATCTTATTTGTTGTAATCTTACGAAACTGACTTCTTGGACCTCGTAGCTTTTTGGAAGATTCAGGAGGACTTTTTATGGAGCTGATCTTGCTGTCCGTGAATAAAGATGGTCTGACTTCTTCCAGGACTGCCGTCTGACACGGTTGAGAAAGCAACTGCTCTCTGTAAGACACCCTCTGAAGGAAGCATTGGGAATATATTTTATTGTTACATAAGTTTTGTGGCTCATTCTGGGGTCCCAGCCTACTAGGAACAACCTACTCCTCCACCTCATCTGACCCTCACTGACAAAAAACAGTGAGGGAAGAAGCTCGGAATGTTGTCACCAGTCCCCACAGACACAGCTTTGGGCTAAACCAGGGTGCGCACAGGGGTGCCTCTGGGGGAGGAGCAGGTCATCCCCAGTGGATGGACATTGCCTGAAGGTCAGCAGTCTCCTCCTGGCATGAAGCCCTGCTGAATTTCCAGAAGCATCCAGGGATGGAGATGGGGTACTCCTGGAGGGGGCCCGGGTCTGCCATAAGATATATGCCACACTCTCCCACCTCCTTTTGGACTTTAAAGAGCAGGAACCAGCACTCTGGCTTTAGAATAAAAGGGGCTTCAGGGTTCACCCACATCCCACCCCTGGGGTCATTCTGCTGTGTGGTTCCCATATTCCTGTTACTGGTTGATTGGCATTTTTCAGGACAATTGATCTCTTGTAACAAAAGATAACTGGCCCTTGCTGTCCCAAAAGACATTGGGATATGGCTCCAGTGAAGGAGATCCCTCCATACCTCTCCCTTATCCCAGGCATTCTCGTGAACCCTTTCTCCAAGACCCCTGATCCCACTCCCATCCTCCCACCCACCATCTGTCTTCAGGCTTTGGGCCCTCCAGTCACCATAGCTGTTCTTCCCACGTGGCTTTAAGGAGTAGGATTTGAATTATAATCCACAGTTGGAGGGCACCTGCCCTTTGTAAAAGGTGTGATCCTTTCCCTTTAAAAAGACAGAGAAAGTCATAATGCAGTAATCCCTTGGAAGGGAGTGGGCCCCCCATCCCTAGAGGGGCACCCCAAGAAATGAATAGGTCCCTGTCGGTTGTTCTTCCCCGAGATCCCACACTGGATGAGGGGCCAAAATTGATGACCTTGAGACCTTTACCAATGAAAGGACCTGATCCTCAGGAGGTCCCTCCACTTTGCACCTATTGGACTCATCAGAGCACTGAGGTCTGTTTGTAAGAACTTCAAATTTAAATAACCAAAAAAAAAAAAAAAACAACTTCAAATTAAAAAATCCATAGCACCTGAAAGAACATCTAGGCCAACCCTGAGAGGGAGACCAAGGGCCAGAGAGAAGAGGGAATTTGCCTGAGGTCACCTGCAGATCAGAGGGAAGGTCAGAATCCAGGCCCAGGGCTCCTGACCTCAGTCCCACATTTCTTTTTCTGCTTGGATTCTGTCCTGGGAGTGAACCTCTGAGGACTCTGGTCCATTTCCCATGAGCCAATAGGAAGATGGCATTCCCACAGGAACCCCTGGCTGTGTGTCAAAGAGCATCCCGAGTGAGCCTTACACACCTATGTCCCTGTTGATTATCTGTCTTCCCCATCAAGAGGCAAACTCTGTGAAGGAAGGACGTGGATTCTTCCTTGGTATTTCCCCTATGCCTAGATCATCACCTGATGCTTAGTAAGTGCTCCACAAATATTTACCAAAGGAAGGAAGTGAGAAGGAGAGAAGGAGGGTTCACTGGATAAAGGGGGCCTTTCCTGCTATCCAGTGGGTCTCCATCTCTTTCTCTCTTCACTCCTCCCTGCCATCCCCACTTCCCCTGGCCTGGCCCATCTCCCCTTCTCTCTATTTCTCCCCACTCCATTCTCCACCCAATAATGCCACAGAGTAAACTTATTAAAGCACAGTATTACTTCTCATTAAAATCCTTCTGAATGGGAGAAAATATTTGCAAAACACATATCTGAGAAAGGACGTGTGTCCTGAATCTATAAAGAACTCTCAAAGCTTAATACAATCAAGCAACCCAATTTTTAAAATGTGCACAAGATTTTAAAACACTTGAACAAAGAAGAGATGGGGAAGTACATGAAAAGATGTTCAACATCTTGTCGTTGGAGAAATGCAAATTTAAACCATAATGAAGCACATTATTAGAATGGTTAAAATTAGGGGAAAAAAAACCACTATCAATACCAAGTGATGACAAGAGGCAGAGCAATTAGAACCTTCAGACATTGCTGGTACAAATACAAGACAGTACAGCCATTTCAAAATAGTTTGGCAGTTTCTCACAAAGCTAGACATACACTTACCAAATGACCTAGAAATCCTACTCTGAGATATATGCCAAAGAGAAACAAAAACATGTCTACATAAGGACCTGTACATAGCTATTTATTATCGTATCAACTTTATTAAAAATTGCCCAAGCTGGAAACACTGCAAATTCCCCTCTACTTTAGAGCATATTAATAAACCGTGGCATATCCATTCATTGGACTCCAACTCAGCATGGAACATATAAACTACTGACACATAAAACCTGGGTGAATCTCAAGAGCATCATGTAAAATGAAAGGAAAAGACACAAATGTCTACGTATGAATGATTCCACTTATATGACACCCTGAAAAAGGCAAAAATCTCTGGATACTAATCATGCTAGTAGTTGCCAGGGGCTGGGATAGGAGTAGGTTGACCACAGACAGCACAAGGGAACTTTCTTCCATGTGGTAGTGACATGGCTCTATGCATTTGTCAAAATTTATAGAATTGTATACTTTAAAAGGGTGAATTTTATTGTATGTAAGTTATACTACTATAAATTTGACTTTTAAAAAAATCCCATGGCTTCCCACAAAATATGCAGGATGAAGCCCAGGCAGCTTACCTTACATTCAGGGTCAGACCTAACCAACCTCTCCTGCCTTTCTCTCCACTCTAGCCCTTCACACCTTCCACACAGCATTTATAAGGAACCGGGGAGTGTGTCCCAACACATCCTGAGCTTTGTGCTTCCTTTCCTTTCCTCATGCTCTTCTCTGTGTTCTAAATGTTTTCCTTCTCCCTGGAAGAAGTGAACCCTTTCAGAAAGAAAGCTTGGAGTCAACTAGACCAGGGACCAACCCTATTCTGCTATTGTACTAGACAGAGATCAAAAATGGTGCAGCCTGTACGTCTCCTTGCACCAGTGTGTCCTTGGCAATGTGACTTCGCAGCTGCTGCCACTGAGAGGTAGAGTCCACTTCCCTTTCCCTGGAATCTGGGCTGGCCTTGTAACTTGCTTTGGCCAACAGAATGTGGAAGAAGTAATGATGTGGCATTCTGAGCCTAGGCTGCAGAAGGCCTTGCATACTTCCTACCAAGCCTGGCCTCCTCCGTGAGAGCAAGCCTGGCTACCTTCTGGAGGATGGGAGTCCACATGGAAGTCTAGGTGTTCCATCCAAGACCATCCCAGACCAACCAACCCCCAACTGACTCACAGGTCCATAGCTATTGTTCTGAGCCACTGAGTTTTGGGCTGGTTTATGATGCAGCAATAGCTCATTGATACAGTTAGTAACTCACTATAGCTCTGGGAAAGTCACTCAGTCTCCTCATCTACATAATAGAAGTAATAACACATACCTCTTGGCGCTTTGTGAGGCCCACAAGAGATGATGTACATATTGACAAGTTCAGTACCTGGCGCATAGTCAGTCTTTGATCAGTGGTTATTATTGCTTTTCCAAGTCCAGCTCTTACCCAGTTTTTGAGGGCCAGCTCACATGCTGCTTCTTCTAAGCCACCCTCCCTGAATCTCCAGACTGCACGTAGTCTATCCCTTCTTTGAACTCCCCTAGTACTTTCTCCATTCCTCTCCAGTACATTCCATCCTCAACTCGGAGTCCTTCGGAAACATGGTCATGGCCTGAAACACAGGTGTCTGGTTCAGACGTAGACTCCAATCAGAGAAAGATTAAATGATTTATGCAATGGTAGGACAGAAAGTCTGTTTTCCTGTCTCCAGGGCAGTGGCTGCTTCTACAATACAAACATCTCTGCTTTCAAGCGCAAACCCAGAGTGCCTCCTTGCACATCCTTGGCATTCAACAAATGTATCTCAAATTGAAACAGCTAAAGAGAGTGGTGTTTGCTCTCCTTAGGGAGCATTGAAAATGTGTAAGAGTTTTGGGACTTTCACAAAGAGTTGAAGCCACCAAAATGCAGGCACCAGGAACTCCTACCTCCTGCCCTTGGGTAGCAGAGTTTGGCTAACTAGGAAGAAGTGGCCTCCCCATCCCTTGCTGAGGGGTGCTGGCTAGAGGGAAAAAGCTGGTGGCAAGTCTTATTTCTTAACAGACAGTGGCCTGAGAGCAGGCTTCATTATTCCCATTCTACAGCTAAGAAAAGAGAGAGCCTTACTTAGTAGCCCAGGGTTATTATGCAGCCAGGAGATGGCAAAGCCAGGACTGGAACCTGCATTTTGAACCTGAAGCCTGTGAATGTGTCAGAGTTCTAACAGGCCAGCCTGGGTAGGAAGTACAGGCTGATCTGAGTGGGCGTCCCTGGATAGAGCAGAGTCCAGGCTGCCTGCTGGGTCCCTGGTATAAATGCTGAGCTCCACAGAGAAACAGGTGGGCCTTGGGAAGTCAGGTGACTTGTCCAATGTTACATGGCTTGAAGGCAACAGAACCCCATTCAACTCCCCAAATTCTTTTTTTAGGGTCTATCATTATGTTTTATAATCCCCTGAGGGTTCCCTACCTGCAATTCAGACTCAGTAAGGCAAAAGGCAAGTCACATTCTGTCATGGTTTGAATATTAAATGTCTCCCAAAGGCCAGGTGCTAAATGCTTGATCACCAGTCTGTGATGCTATTGGGGAGGGGTGGGGTGGAACCTTCAGGAGGTGGAGCCTAGTGGAAGGACCTTAGGTCATGGCTGGAGTGGACCCTTAAGGGGATATTGAGATACTGCTTGCTCACCCTTGCTCTCTCTCTCTCTCTCCTTCCTGGCCACCATGAGGTGAGCAGTTCTGCACTGCCACATGCTCCCCATCATAATGGACCCCCCTCACCACAGGCCCAAAAGCCACAGAGCCAACTGATTGTAGACTGAAACTATGACTCAAAATAAACCTTTCCTCCCTTTAAGTCGATTTTCTGAAAGCTTTTTGTTTTGTTTTTTGTGGTGCTGGGGATTGAACCCAGGGCCTTGTGCATGCAAGGCAAGCACTCTACCAACTGAGATATATCCCCAGCCCAAGTTGATTTTCTCTGGTATTTTTTGTCAGAGTAACAGGAAACTGACTAACACACCCTACTGTTGCATATCCCAAGTGGCCCTGTCCAAAGACTACTTCTGTGTCAACTGCAGTTTGATTTGCAGGTATGTGTCGGCAAAGAGTCCAGATTCCTACATCCAGACTGCTGATCCCACCCGACTAATCCATCTTTCTTCATTCTTCCATACCCCTTCCCATGCCCACCCCCAGCTATTCAGCCATCCCTCAACAGGCCAAGTTTGCTCACCCCTCCATGCCCACAAGGGCAGCCTACAGCATCTTCCACCTCTACATCTCCTTTCCAGGCAGACCTGGGCATTTTTCTCTCTGTACCCCACACTCCCATCATGCACCTGATGCTGAATCAATCACTTCCCTTTGCCCCACTTGCCTGTGACCTTCGAAGGACAAGGACCCCTGCCCCTAGCAGTGTTTACTAAATTTAACTGAATTATCAACCTTTCTGTCTCCCCATGCCCCCATCCAAGGCCACCATTTCTCCTGGTGCTGAGAGACCACCCCTCCAACCCATGCAAGGAGTGTGTTCCTCCACCTCAAGATGCAATCTCCCACTCCCTTGCCCATCAGCTCAAATCTCCACCTCCACCCACTCTCACAAGAAATACAGAAAGGAAGGTGGAAGAAAAGGAAAGGAGGGAGAACTGGAGGGAGGGAGGGAGGAAAGAAGGGAGGGAAGAAATATGGCCTTTTCTG